TCCTACCATCAGTCCTGTTTCGTTCTGTTTGTTTATATTCTTAAAAACCTCGACTGCGGCGAGAGCTGATTGTGTCAAAGGCGGTGGTTCCGCCTTACAGCGGCGATATCAATGAACAATATACTTTAGGCGTAGTTGTAATAAGGTCCATTTTATTTTTTTATTACTCCATTTGACGACGCGCTTACAAAGGATATTCGGTTGGATACAAAACTGTGGAATCCTTTTTACCAATGTGTATGTACTGATGTATATACCGATTAGACCCGCGAATAAAGAAATATTTAGCCGCGAATATAGAAATTTTAATCGCATTTTATTAAAGCGCGAATAGTGAAAACTCGTATTAAGGAAACACGGATAAGAAACTTTTACTGCATAGATTTTTTCTTTTAATTATATATTGTTTCTATTAATAATAATTCTCTTAAAACAATAGCTTGCTTATAATTTGGCAGCACTGACGTTGCAACGTCAATGGGTTCTGGTAACCTAGGTCTAACACTTAGCACTAGGTCGTGATTTTGTCTATTCCATTACTAAAAAAAACACTTTAAAACATGCTATCGAAGTGTAAGTAATATGTAATATGTAGCAGCTGTTCCATCCATCAAACTCGAACGCATAATATGTCTGTCTCATACATAGACCTTTAACATACTTCAGTGGTTCCATAACGTATGTACTTAGACATAATAATATGTAAAGTATCGGAAATAATATCGTGTACTAAAAATCAAACCCGCAAAATTATAATTTGCGTAATTACTGCTGGTATGACCTCTTGTAAGTCCGCACGGGTAGGTACCACCACCCTTTTTTTTTTTTTTAACGCTGGGGAATCCATTTACGGATACCCGGTCCGGGGGATAACGAACCGGGTTATGTCGGACTCCGGCGCCTCCTGAGAGGAAGAGGGGGACGAGAATGTCCTCCACCTCCCCGAATCCCTCGCAAGAGACTACGCCTTGAAAAAGGCGCGCGAAGCACTTGCCCCGCAGAACGACTACCGACTAAACCCCATCGAGCTCCACCACACCGGCTACACCAGACCTACGGTACCGCAGTGCGCGCCGAAAGTCCGCCTTCGCCGGTACCCGTCCTGATGATAAGACGGGATTTCATCTCNAAGGGGGAGGAGAGCTTGGAACCCCCAGAGCTGGTTTTGGTCCACGTCGTTCGGTCTCTCTCGTTGTAACAAAACGAGAGAGACGGAACGATGCCTCTGGGAATGGTGCCCAGAGGCCCGTTATCCGCCACCTACGGACGCGCCCGGTAGGAGTCCAGCAACTCCCGCGGGAGGTACCACCACCCTGCCTATTTCTGCCGTGAAGCAGTTATGCGTTTCAGTTTGAAGGGTGAGGTAGCCGTTGTAACTATACTGTCCTTAGAACTTATATCTCAAGGTGGGTGGCGCATTTACGTCATAGATGTCTATGGGCTCCAGTAACTTAACGCCAGGTGGGCTGTGAGCTCGTCCACCCACCTAGGCAATAAAAAAAAAAAAAAAAAAAACATGAAAATTATGAAGCGGGAATTAAGCTGTTCAAAGTAGCTTTAGTTAAAATATTTATGTTGGGATCAAAAGAAAAAGCAGTTTTTCGTTTACTTTCTTTTAATAACACGGATTGGGTAAAGTCTGTAACATACTGGTGTAATACCTATGTTATAAATTTATATAATGTGTTATATTGATATATTAAATTGTAAATTCACAGGTAAAACATTCAGTATGAAAATGTTGATAATGATGATAATAATAATAATATTATATACAATTTCGTACGGAGAGGATATGCTAAATTTAGAAATATATTTTTAATATTAAACTACTTGATACAAAGATGCGAAATGTATTAAAATTTGCATCAAACTGTTAACCCGGGATTAAAGAGAGAAAATGAAATCGTCCTATTCGAGTTCGAGTTCTATTCGAGTGATCCAAAAAAAAAAACAAAAACAAAATTCTGTTACATAATGAGATTTATTTGTACAGTTAAAATATTTGATTTAAGAATTTGTATGGTGTAAACAGCGGCAGGGGTAGTAGTAGGTATGTAGCCACGTATCATTAACACACTGCCTCAATTTTTAATTTTCACTTTTAACAACAAGCCATGCCATAGTCTGTCTTTTGTGTTTCGAAATTGTTCCTCTTAGGTTTCAGTGAAAATGTTGGGAAGCTACGATAAGTATAGAAATATAGATTGATTATTCTCAAAGTAATACTTTTGAAAACGACGAGCAGACGCTCTCGACAGCGTAAAAGTTAACTCACATTTGTATGCAGTTGAGACAGTGGCCCTAGCGGCCCCTATGAGGAGGCAGTCTCCTCCCGAGGACGGTCAGCTCCCAACACCTTGCAAATCGTCGAGTCCCACATACCCCGCGTGCCCCCTAGGCGCGGGGACCTCGTAGGAGGTACGGCCCCGTACAGAACAAAAATAAATTGCCCCTAGCGGCAAACGTAGACAAACGTTACAACTCCATACAAATTAGTGCAAACTTTTACGCTATCGAGAACGGTTAAAAACTCGCACTATTATAAGTACACTTATCGCTGTGTATCACGTTGCTGTGGGCAGTCGGCCTTTTTACATTTTCTTATTTAAAATATCACGTTTTTGTGATGTTATTATTAAGTTGAGATTATTGATTTGCATTTTTTTGAAGGACTGAATATATGCCTTAATGATTAGGCATTAGGCTTAATGATTTTGTAGGCAGCGGCTTGGCTCTGCCGCTGGCATTGCTGAAGTCCATGGGCGACGGTAACCACTCACGATCAGATGGGCCGTATGCACGTCTGCCTACAAGGGCAATAAATAAATAAAAAAAGATTAATAATCTCTATAAGCCTCCCAACACTGTACACGAATTTTGGGTATCTCAGAATTGTTATTAGTAACACATTTGGAAAATCAATGCTTGGCTCACACACTACCATTAGCGCTCCAAAATTGTATTCTTATTAATTTAGCATTTAAATTTAAAAACAAATTTAAAATATCCACGACCATTAGGGCCACACATTATCAGGAGTATTGTAATCATATTTCTTTCAAATGCAAAATTGCAAATTTAATTCTGGTACTAAAATTCTCTTGTTCTGAGTTTCGAATACCTTACTTCTCTATACGAGTATCTCTATAAGTATTTTATTTATTTATTGTCCCACTCCGTGAGTAGCTGGAACAGCAGTGGACGACTGTGGGCTGATAGAAGAGAATAGAAAAAGGCTAACGAATCAACAGCCCCGCTGGTTAAGTGGTTACCGGATAGATGTTACAAAGTGGAGCCTGCCTCTATGAGACAAAAGGACGAAGTCTTAATTGAGGCGATCAGCGCAAAAGTGGGTTAATTGCCCTTGTAGGCAGACGAGCAAACGACCTACCTGATGGTGAGTGGTTACCGTCGCCCATGGACTTGAGCAATGCCAGGGGTAGAGCCAAGCCGCTGCCTACCGCAAGCTTATATGACGTATATTGGAATTTAATTAAAAAATAATAAATTTTGGTTCAAAGCCAGCCTATCCATAGTTTCACCCATAAATAAGAGAGTTTTATAAACATTATTCTTGCGCGTATTGTTTTTTGTCTACTCAAACTCAAATTCATGATAATTCAGACCTGATCGCCTCCATACTAACTATGGTAAGCTTAGGCCACTTTTGCGCTGACGGCCTCGATTGTATTAACACTGTCACACACTACAAACTGGACTGGACGACTGCTTCGTGCAGATATGAGCAGGACGGGGATGTCTTACCGTGCGGGCTTACAATACGACATACCACCAAGGATTACGTAAATATTACCGCTCTGATGCGCCATACAACCGGCAACAACCACTTTAATTAAATAATATTCTATATTGTATATATTGTAATGTTCGATGAATATTATGTACCTCATTACGTGAAGTGAATAAAAACGCATGTCTAACTTAATATAAAAAAAAAAAAACGATACATACATATACTCGTACTTATGACAAATTGAAAAGAAAATTTAAAAACCAAATTCGAAAGTACCCTCGAAAAGTTTGTACACATTATTGCACTTTTAATTTTCATTACACGAAAATTCGATTGGTTTTAATGGACTTCAGATCAAAAAGGACATTTTCGATATCGGGCCTATGTTATATTTACACATTTGGCACGATTTCTGACGACGGCATTATTCTGTAGAAACTAAATTACAGTCGATTTCTAATATTTCTATAAAACCCGTAAATGAACACACTTTTTGAACTGGACAGTAGAGTTATGTCATTTTCAGTTTATATGTTTCACTTATGTACATAAAATAAAATCTGTTGATTATATATTACATTTATCGCTATCGTTTAAATAGGCAATAAAAATAATGAACGCACTAAAGTATTTGGAATATTGGACATTTAATCATCTTGATTAAATATCTTATAAATATATAAAATTGTTCTTTGAATTGTTTAAGCCAAGATTTTTAATCTAGTTTCATTGTCTACCTACAGATACAATCGAGATGTACTTTATTTCTGATTTCAATACTTAAATATGTGGATTTATGTATATACATGCATTTAAATTTTTAACAGTGAGTAGGGTAGGAATGATGGAATTCGACAATACCCGTCCTACTATGCTTTCTCCTAAACTACGAATAACATGAATAACACATTAGTGTTTCGGGGGATCACGCCTCGTAACACTGCGTCTGCGATCATCGCATAGTTCATAGATGTCAGAATATATTAACGTTTTGTTCCCGACGTACCCAGAGGCGTTGGGAACGTCATGTTTTTTTCGTCAAATTTATAAAATTTCGAACAGCTATCTTCGGTAAAAGTATCTGTTTGTTTTAAATATTGACCATGCTTAATGTTTAAATATTGGTCATCTTATTTACTGCCAAATAGTTAGAAGACTGATTTATTGAGTGTTTATTTTTTAAAATGTAATGTAAGCTTCAGAGAATTTATTGATGTACCTTATAGGTAACCACCATTACCAATTCTTACCCTACTCTTTTTAATAACACACACTAACACAACAAATAGGTATGAAAATATTGGACTAGAAAGTAACTGTAGTCCGCTTATAAACAATTTATTAACATTCATTATTTTTTTATTATAGTAGGTAGTAGAAATACAATGTTCAGTCTAAGGATACCTTATGTTCTTATTTAGGTACAAAAAGATACAATATAAAGTGGGTTGGTATAATTTAATACACAAATTTACCTATTATAATACACATAACGCGAATTTAACGTACACGTATCTATTATATATTTTTTGGTATATAGCACAAAATTAAAATAAATACATGCCTACACAGATATTTCGAACGACATTTTATACCTAATTTATTATGAAAATATCACACACAAAACAGTTGAGTATTATTATCTCCTTTTCAACTATTTTCCATTACAATTAGTATCATTCGAAAATCGCTCACAAATTAACATTCGGATTGATCGATACTATTACGTGAAAGGAATGTGGACGTGTGAGCCGGGACTATGTCCGACAGTGAAAGGCGCGACACGTATTGCGAATTCGTCGCCTTCGGTATCCGTCAAGTATACTCTTCTTCGTCTTCCTCTTCTTCACTAGACTCAGATTCGGGCTCATGATTTTCATCTCCTAACAATAAAGTCAGATAATCAACTGGAGTTTGCCGCGCTGGGATCAAATATCCAGCAGAATCTTGAGAAGGATTTGGTGGTCGCGGCAGTCGCACTTGCTCGGTCGTAGTACCACCGGCCGCAGCTATTTCTAATTTTCTACAAATCTCATCGAAATCGATCCTATTTTGTGGATCGAACTGCCAGCATTCACGCATCAACTCGCAAGCAAATCGAGGACAATCTTCTGGCGGCACCAACAAAATACCCTGTACGATTAACTTTGTGGCATCTTCGTTATTATGCCCATAAAATGGTTGTTTGCCTCGGCTGTATATCTCCCAGAGTACGACACCATACGCCCACACGTCTGATTCGTGAGTAAAACGTGCGTACAGAATGCTCTCCGGAGACATCCACCGTACTGGCATTGGACGTTCACCGCCCATTTTGTAATAATCACAAGTGTAAACGTCTCTAGACATTCCAAAATCAGCTATCTTAACTGTAAGATGAGATCCGACCAAACAGTTTCTGGCAGCTAAATCACGGTGGACAAATCTGCGGGAAGCGAGGTATTGCATGCCCCTCGCTACTTGTAGCGCTACGTGTAAGAGAGCAACTTCGTTCAGCGTGGGTGCAGGTCGAACACCATTGCGAGACCCCCTCAGGACACCGGCCAAATCACCCAGCTCCATATATTCAAACACCATCCAAGGGCTGCATATAACATTATCTGAAATTATCAGCCATTTTAATAATTTCCTTCGAACATGCTACAGTAATACTCATAACTATACTGAGACTTTAGAACTTATATCTCAAGGTGGGTGGCGCATTTACGTCTTAGATGTTTATGGGCTCCAGTAACCACTTAACAAGTAAGAAGTAAGTAAAGAAGTAGGTAGGTAATAAAATAGGTAGACCTAAGAAAAAATGGATGGATTTCGTTAAAGACGATATGTGTAAGAGGGGAGTGAGCGAAGAACGAGTGGGTTTTTTTACTGGTGGTAGGACCTCTTGGGAGTCCGCACGGGTAGGTACCACCACCCTGCCTATTTCTGCCGTGAGGCAGAAATGCGTTTCGGTTTGAAGGGTGGGGCAGCCGTTGTAACTATACTGAGACCTTAGAATTTATATCTCAAGGTGGGTGGCGCATTTACGTTGTAGATGTCTATGGGCTCCAGTAACCACTTAACACCAGGTAGGCTGTGAGCTCGTCCACTTACCTAAGCAATAAAAAAAAAAAATATTAAACTTACCTTTATAGACCACTCCAACTAGAGTAAGAATATTTGAATGTCTAAATGCAGACATTATCGAAACCTCTCGTATGAATTCCTCTTCCGCGCTGCGTCCGGCACTTTCTTTCAGAACTTTAATTGCGACTTCTTGTTCCAAGTCATTCACTCGAAGTAAACCTAATAAAAAAGAGGGTTGTAATTATAATGTTTATATAATAAAACAAGCGGCCCGCTCCGGCTCCGCTTGGGTCTTTAACAAAAATTTCAACGATATTTGATGTTGTTTTATTTTTTTAAATAAAAGAACACTTATTGCGGCATAACTATAATAGTTAGACAAATGATGTCGCGACACTTTTTGTAAATAATAATGTGTTCTACAAAGTCGTAGTACATTATTTTATTCTATCATCAATAGTTTTCGCAGGGCACGCAAGGTAAAGAATATTTTAGGTAATTTTTTTACACCTTGTAGTAAGGATCCCCAATTTTTTCAAAAAATATTATAGCCTATACCACTCGGGAAGAGTGTAGCTTCCAAACAGTGAAAGAATTTTTCAAATCGGTTCAGTAGTTTCGGAGCCTATTCAATACAAACAAACAAACAAACAAATCTTTCCTCTTTATAATATTAGTATAGAAGTATAGATTAAGCTTCAAATTGAAGGGCGCAATCAGTGCGTCATAAAGATTAGCTAACCTCTGTGCACCTTGCCAAAACATCCTTCGCCTACTTCTTCGAGGAATGTCAAAGCGCTTCTATCTAAGAGAGGTACTCTGGGTTCTGTAGTGTCGTCGACAATCGGTCCGTTCGCCGGACCCGTGCCGGTCGCGGTCGCGCCGGCTCCGTACACACCGTACTGGGGGTTCGTTATATACCTTTCAGCGAGAAGAGGCTCTCCTGGCCGCACTCGCTAAAAGAGATTATCTTACATTTAAACAACAAGCAAATTATTTCACAACTAGTTTTTAGATATTTAAATAAACGTAATTCTCTTATTTGTTCATTTATAAATTAATTACTCTTATGAATGTAGCAAAATTAAAAATGTTTTAAGATTAAAAAAGGAAATAGGATAGATAATGGGTAATAATATAAACCCCAGCAATAGCTTTAATAAAAATAGAATTGGATGAAATAATTACACCTATTAGTAAGGTAAAATGTAAAAGAAACATACCGGCTGAGTTTTTCCATCGACGCGACATATCCTTCGTCTAAAGTACCAAACTAGAATAGATACCACGAACAAAAGAAGTAATGCTCCACTAACTAGAGCTGCCAGCAGTACTCCTGTTGTAACGTGTACACCGGCTCCCACAACATTTGGTTCATTTCCAGTCGTTGCTTCCGCCAAAACTTCTCCACTGAACTAAAATAATAATTTCAATTTTAAACATTTGATTGAGAATCAAAGTGTATTCACTTATGATGGTCTGCTTCAATCTTATATTTTTAGCTGCTACTGAAGTTAGATCGCGCTGTTTTGGTACAAAACACACAAATTTGATGAAATTCTTAGAGCAGATTTTTCCATTTATTACCCACAAAGCTTATACACAATTCAACAAACTACAAACAGAAACACAGCTTGTTTTTAATAGGCTGCAAAATATTACAATGTTTGATTAAATATGTAATTTTATGTTTATCTGTGCATGTTCATTTAATTTTGGTAGCTAGCAGTCTTGTTTAAAATACTGCTGTTAATCTTAATTTTATTGGCTATATTTTTGTATTAGTGTTTCTAAATTTTTTTGATTCGGTTTTAAGATATAAGATATCATATTCTTTCCTATCATCTGCCGCAAAATTTATTAATGCATGATAAAACTTTGCGGCTAAAGAAAAATCGGGCATTTCTACAGCTTGTTACAGCCGGCAGTCTGTTAGATTGTTACATTGTCTATACCTACTAGTAAAAAGAACTGAAACGAAAGGTTAACAAAACTGAAAACTAGTAAATTTTAAACATTTGCAAACCAAACATGCTTAATATTAATCAAATTATGTGTCAAAAGTAAATAACGAGTAGTTGTTTTAAAAATAAATTATTAGTATTATATGGATTTATGAATTTACGCCATATTTCGGATTTGTACGGATAACATCCATTAAAAAGTTACATACAAGAATACAAAGACAAAATGTCTCCACTTTTTACGTCAAATCGAGTGACATCCTACGTTATCGGCGCCGCGGCGCTGACCTATCATGAATATTTATCAGTCGCCATGGAAAAACACTGATTTGACTTTCCATCCCATATATTTTATTGGGCTTCAAAATCAATACTCTCAATGATAACCTTTATACACGAAATATTCATATACGATTGTATACTTCATACGATTTGTCAGTGCACTGTTTTCTATTTTGTTGGGTCGGTCAATGCACTTTTATTTATCAAAAAGTTCAAAAAAGATATATTTTTATTATGTATCTATAACAAATTAGAGTGATAAAACTCTATTTTTACTGTAGATACTAGTATATCTAGGAAATGTTATACTGTAATAATCTAATACCTAACTTCTAAATCACCTGTGTCTTGTACGTAATTGTCTTGACCTTGATTCACTTGATCATCTAAGCTTCCTTATAAATTATCTTCCTACTTTTATCTTTGAATACTGCTTGAGCCAGCACTTCTCTATATAAAAACACTACACATACTTGTTTTTAATGTCATTTATAACACGTATCGTTTTAGATACATTTATCCGCATAAATTTTACATTACGAAATTAGTGTCATGCATGTTGAACTCAGTTTCACGAAAGTAGTTTCGATATATGCGAAAGTAATTTCGTTAAAAAATTAGTGTCGCGAAATCCACAGTATCGGAGTAACCATGGCGCCTTCAGCATCAAAGCTATAATTTGCTATATTCAATGTAGCTAAAGAAATGCTTATATACCTGTAAACTTAAAAAAAGACTATCTGGACTGTATCAGTGGATGTAGGTAGACTAGATGGTCAACAATAAGGCATTTAGGTGCAATGAAGTTAGTCTCTGAATTAGCAGATGAAGATCCTGAGAGTTATAAAAACTATTTTTGAATGAGTGAAGATAATTTTGATTTTTTTACTGTAGGGGTTTCGGGTCCCAGAGACACCCTTGTCGTCGATATTCATTAATAAGATCTATATTTTTTTTCTGTACTCCATCGTTGGTTTGCCATTTTCAATGCTTGAAGCGCGTCCGAACTAACAATACACACGTCCGCACAGCGCAGGCCCTTTCGCGACATTAGTTTCACGTCGCGTCTACACTATGAAATTAGTTGCATGACACTAATTTCACCAAAAAATCGCGCAGGGCACGAAACTAATTTCCATGCATGAAATTAATGCATGCATTAAAGTAAGAAAGTATTAAATTACACGTGAAACTGTTGGTAAAACTAATGTCACGAAACTAATTTCACGCCAATAATTTCGTAATGTAAATTCGCCTTTACTGTTATTTCAGTGTAATTGAGATTATAATTTTGTATTTCAAAGTCGATCTGTAATTTATGATCAACGGAATTCCTTAAGCAATTATACCGCTGTCTATCTAGCAAGAGAACCAAACAAGGATTTCTGAGTTTAAGAAAAGTATTACGCATAAAACGATTTAACCCTCAATATACATAGTATGATTATCTGGGCAGTTTATGCATAAAAAGGTCAGGATATCATTGTAATAATTTTTTTAATGACGATATGCTAAATATTGTTAATTTCTAATCATTCATGAATTTTGATAGGCCATAAAAATAATGAACCAACAAAGAAGCGTTCAGAAAAATCTGCAAGCAAAATCGGTGGTAAAAGACTCCTTTATAAAAGAACACACACTAATACGTGCTGTAACATAATATGCATAAACAAACCGCATTATATCTTTTGTATTGATAGTAAACTTTGAATATTATAGAAAGACATGCAAGAAATTGTAAATTCAAGTTGTTAACATCGTACGGTTATATTTTACGATACAAAAATTCTTTCGGCACTGAGCAGAAATGTAAGTATAGCTCCAGCAGAGAACATAAAAATGACAAATCTTTTTCTGGCAAATAACTAAAACTAGTGGCTCCGCAGTAGTCGAGATTCGACTATAATTAATTGAAATTATAAGTTTAAACATTATTAGGGTTCTATTGTCAAACACTATTATATTTCGATAATATAATTACAGTATTCGCTAAAACTGGACTATAGATCAATACCTAATATTTAAGACAAACAATATTAATCTATTTTTCGACACAGACAACAATATTAATCGACCACAGACATTAAACAATAACAAAAGTTTCCCAATTTACAGTAAACAAAGAGTATATTTTTATGTAGGTATGTGTTGTGTCAAATACATCGTAGTGTGTGTAATGTTTTCTTTATTGATTTAACGTATCTTTTATGCATTATTTAAAAAAATTATTATCATTGTGCACTCCTATTCTATATTCTCTATAAGTGTGAGAAATTTCATACTCCTCCGTCCGCGCAATTTTCGTAAAAAGGGCTACAAAGTTTTTGCTTCACGTATTAATATATAGATTCTGTTTCAAATGAACGTTTATGGGCTGTCCACATCGGGTGAACTATAAGCTGGTTGGTCTACAAGATATAATAATAATAAATAAAGGCTGCACAGATAAGAAGTTAAATATGTACTAATTATGATGGATGAGCTTACTTGAGCAGTTGGCGGTGAAGGCGCGTTTCTTCCGTCGAATGTGTTAGTGGTGCGAGTCTGCGGCGGAATCACATTATGGATCGGTTTAGGAGTTGCCGTCACTGGAAAATAATAATTGTTTTTGAATTTTCTTAATCACTATTCACCACTATAATTCTTCTTCGTAACGTGGCCGAATAAGTAAGTCGTCCGGTTTATTATAGTCTTTATGCAATTATTAACAGTTTATTAATATGAACTATAATTTTCAACTCATTGATTTAAGTCTTAAGACATAAATTTAACCTAAAAATACATATTATTATCCGCAACACGCTTCGTCAGATTATAGAAACAGAGTTATCAGCAACACGCTTCGTCAAAAAGTACAAAACTTACTTTGAGCTACAAGCATCGTCATAATGCAATTGTGTAGTGGTTCGATTCCACAACTTTTTCTATCATAGCTCCAAACGATTTCTAAACCATCATCAGTAGCCATGCCATGACCTCTATTTTTATATGTTACTACTATATACCTATTACTGATGAGAGGCAGTCAAACGTTACAGGTTAGAGGTTGTATAGCTGCTGATTCAGTGTCATTGAGATTTCGACCTTATTTTCCAAAAAATTACGCCTCACACAATGATTTCTCTGGTAACTGCTTAACATCGGATGGTTATCTCGTCGGTTTAAGTATGACAATAAAATTACTGATGATAATACGGTGTCTTGTGAGCCCGCACGGGTGGGTGTCTGCCTATTTCTGCCGTGAAACAGTAACGCGTTTCGGTTTGCAAGATAGTCGTTGTACTGTAACTGAGTCCTAGTATTTATGTATCAAGGTGGGTGGCTGCATTTACGTAGCTGATGTCTATGGGCTCCGGTAACCACTTAGCAACAGGTGGGCTGTGAGCTCGTTCACTCATCTAAACAATAAAAATGAATGAAATGTATGCCACAGATATGGTTATTTATGATTGTAAGGCTTCAACAGAATAATTAAGGTGTGGTTCGAATGTAAGGCCGCCGCCAATCATCTTCAAGTGCATCTCAAATCCATTAAGCTTGAACGCACTTCAATTCAAAAATAATTACACTATTATTAGACGCAATTCGTTTGTTCGGTCCGAATATATTTGGATATACCTACTTATCTTTTGGTTTATCTAAATTTTTAAAGCGCATATTGCAGCTCTGCACTGGTGAGTCCTATAGGTACTCCGAAGCAGTCGTCGTATCTGTTTGACATATCCTTCTTCAAAGGAGGCTTGTGGAGAGTACTTAACGGTAGGCAGCGGTTTCGCTCTGCCCCTGGCATTGCTGAAGTCCATGGGCGACGGTAACCACTCAGCATCAGGTGGGCCGTATGCTCATCTGCCTACACGGGCAATAAAAAAAAACTCACCCTTCAAACGGCTGTTATACTCTATAACTAAGACTTCTCATATCTCAAGTCGATTAACTGGCCATTCAAAGCCAGATCGACTGTGAGTTTGTTCATTCTATGCAATAATTAGATAGAAAGTTTTTTTTTTGCTAGGTGGGTGGACGAGCTCACACCCCATCTGGTGTTAAGTGGTTACTGGAGCCCATAGACATCTACAACGTAAATGCGCCACCCACCTTGAGACATAAGTTCTAAGGTCTCAGTATAGAACTACAACAGTTGCCCCGCCCTTCAAACCGAAACGCATTACTGCTTTATGGCAGAAAAAAAAAGTCTATTCATGAGTATTATATGACAAGTAATGTGCCATACCTGGACTTCTTGGGCATTGCAAGTCCTCAGTAATGGGCATTCCGGTGGTCGTGCACCAACAGAAATGAACGGTACTGTTGTATTCCGTACACGCAGCTTCTTCTCCACAGGACATCGGCTCGCAAGCTCCTTGAAAGTATTTAACTGGAAAACGACGAATTGTACTTTATTATTATAGTTCTACGGTGCTTTCTTCAGTTTACGTGAGTTGGAGGCATAATTAAAACTTACGGTTCAATCTCGCGTTTCGCATATAATTATATTATATCGAACGTTCGGAATTTTTTACAGTTTTCATGGTCACGGTGAAAAAATTACTGTAATTGCATTGTAGTAAGTTACGAACCCTTACTGTAATGCCTTAGACAACAGATTTTATTATTTATAACCTTAAAGTAGCGAAATTTACGATGCCTTGTCTTTGGCTCTGGTAACCGGTTAACAGATGTAAGCCTGTTTTCTTAATCAAGGTAGTAATATTTCATACTAAAATAAAACATACACGTGAAAAGAAAAAACAGGGAAACGGGAGCAGAAACCGTAGAGAATTTATGACGATGCGTAACCGTTAGTTACCATGCCGGTGGTAATAGATAATGATTTAATAATTCTAGCCTTGAAACGTTCACTTCGAAGTTCAGAATAAAATAAAAATGCATTACTTGGTCGTGGCTCCGAATTTTCTTCCAGATTCGTTTCATCTCTGGCAAACCTCGTCAGATTTTCTTCATGGCCCCGATGCCTCTGTAGGAAATGATGAGCATTATAATTTATCACCTAAGAAGTTAGGCGAACGAGCTTGTAGCCAGTGTGAACTTATAAATAAAGGTACACCCTAATTCCCTCTTACTACCGGAGCCTAGTTCATGCATGATGGGTGATACACAAAAACGGTAAAAAAAGTGTTATAGCAATGTATCATCTAAAAGAGCAAATTGATGAATATTTGAAAGCATTTAAATCGTAAAGGTAATCGTAAATCGTAAATCGTAATATTACTACTCATGTCAATCGTATCTTGTAAAATATTACATTTCATAAATTCATTTTGATGGCATTAAACTTCAAAAAATCTCTTCCTGTGGACTGTTACAAGACGAAGTTATAATGTTTGAGCCATGTTTAAAAATAGTTGAAGTACTTATTTACTTGTAATACAAGCAATATATTAAAGATGATAATATTTAGAATAAAACAAATATATAGTTACTATCTGTATACAATAAATCCAATAAACTGAAATGGAGTCTTTTCTGTGGACACGATAAAACGACACCAAATTTTTATTTATGCGACCTCATCAAGTTTATATTTTTAACTGTTAGCAAGAGTTTTTATAATACGCCTTTTCTGCGGACATCTTTCCTGTGGTCACGGCGTACAATGTAAAGACAATATCCACAGAAAAGACGTAAGAAACATACCTTAGTTGATCTCAGTAGAGAAGAACTAAAAAAATAGTCGAACTGAGGACCTACTTCTTTTTTAAACTTGGTTACAAAGAAGCATGATTTTGGCAACATTTTCCATATCTTGCTTCGTTTTCGTGCATTTTTTTAATAAATATGCCACGAACAATCTTATCTAAAATTCAACTCAAAGAAGAAGAAAAAATAATAACCGTCATCACGTAGACTATACATTAGACACTGTAAAGCCATCATACTAAGACTATACTATACATATACATATATGTAATGAGCATTACATATTAAAACTCATTAGCTATCTAAAGAATTATACAAAATACCATGGCTGTAAAAGTATTATCATTCGATAATTTTTTTGTTTCATAAGTCCAGTGAAGGGATTTTCCTTTCTGTAGACATTATTATTTAATTTTTTATTTTGATTGATGTGATTATTTTGACATTTTCTTTGCGTTTTTTTTTATTGCTTAGATGGGTTGATGAGCTCACAGCCCACCTGGTGTTAAGTGGTTACTGGATCCCATAGACATCTCCAACGTAGACGCGCCACCCACCTTGAGATGCAAGTCTCAGTATAGTTATAACGGCTGCCCCACCCTCCAAGCCGAAACGCATTACTGCTTCACGGCAGAAACAGGCAGGGCGGTGGTACTTATCCGCGCGGACTCACAAGTGGTCCTACCACCAGTAATTACACAAATTTTAATTTTGCGGGTTTGATTTTTATTACACTATGTTATTCCTTAACCGTGGAAGTCAATCGTAAGCATTTAATTTTGTTAAGTACGTATTTCAAGAAAAATTGGCACCCGCCTAGGTTTTTTTTCCTACCAAAGCTGATAGCCTTGAGAGGCTATTTCAGCGGAACCTTAACTAGTAGATGAGCTCACGGGGTTCAAGCCGGAGTGTTGCTAACACTGACCCTAGCAAGAGCAGTGCTTCGCAGAATCTACCGCCGTATCGGAAACGCGACCCATTAAGAAGATCCGAGAAAGGCGAGAAACTCAGTGGGCTGTGTCTATGGGTTAATTCGCTTGTCTAGCCCTTCGTCGCAAGCGACGGGTTCGACGAGGACGGTGACCGGTGCTTGTGGTGCCTAAAAGAACCGTTAATGGATCGGCAGGTTCCGTAATGACTTGCATTGGGCGACGTCGACTGTTTACCATTCGGTCTACAGAATCGGGTATGCCCGCCTAGGATTCGAACACCGTTGCATCGCTAGATACGAATGCACCAGACGCCTTATCCTTTAGGCTACGACGACTTCGAAAGTTTTAATATGTTTCCTATATTTCTCCACGATTTATTATTCTAAATCCAAATATGCTGCAAAAAGCACACATGGCTTGAGTGAAGTCATTAAATCTCAATTTAGGTAATTTCGAACACGTTTGAAGTACAAATTATGTTAAATTTGATGATGTTAAGATTTGGTCAATGTCATTTTTTTATTTAACTCTTTTTTGTGTGACATGGACGACAGCAATGCCAGGTACATTGCCAAGACGGTGCCTACCGCTCAATATACCTATAGTCCATAAGTTTCGTTTGAAGAAGAATATATCATAGCGCTCGGGAAACACCATTGAGGGGAGGTCATTCCAGAGTCGGAGAGTGGGATGGTATGTGGCAAGAAAGATCTTTAGAAACGCACAGTCCATGAATGCTGCTATCCCAGAACTCGATTTACTCGATTATAGAACTTTATGAAATTATATTAAACTATTTAAGTGAAAGTCGTAGGTAATTTAAGTTTAAAATTTGAAGCTAACATCCGATTAGGCAGGCATGTTACGTTTCCGGAATATTGCGTGACATAAAATCTTACCGACACTACCGTAATACTCGTCTACCTAGTAAGCGTAATGTTTCACTGCAATGATTTATTTATGGAGCATAAACTTGTAATGAAACTTAAACCTTTCAGTATTTATTTTCTTTGATTGCAGCCCCGCCCGTTCCGTGGGATTTATTATCGCTGCGTTTCAACATTTTAATACAAACTATAAATAACTTAATTGCTATCAATCAGAACGAATTTTCATATGAATTAAGTGTCGCAATTTTATTGATATCCCATTAACATATTGTTCATGTTTAAACGAAAATCATGTTAGAGTAATGTTATTTTCAGTCTTATTTTATTGATGTGATGGTAAATCAAAATAGGACATCATTAGTTTTCTAATATTTAAGATCGAAATTCAACAACGGAAATCGGAATAATTTTTGCACAAGTCGATTATGTACCGTGTATTCGTGTGAAGTATTTTTCGTAGTATGTATTTCTAGAGATTTTCACTGAATTATTTGATGACATCTTATCCTAACAATGTTCCAATAGAGATCTTTATCAGACATTAGGATCAGTTCTAAAGTGAAAATGTTTAATTTACAATAAAAATACTGTCTGAATTGAAAGCGTCTTCTTGAAGTCTGTTAAAAGATGAAATCGTGGATGTCCGGGAATTAATTTTGACAGATACGGTCTGTTGTGAGACCGCACGCACTCCGAATTGAAGGGAAAACATCTGTGTCTGTGATTCCGAAATAAAAAGCTCATATTGCACTTTACTCAAATAAACTTATTATTTGTATTTAAAAATTTGTCTGTGTTTATTTAGTTCAAAGAAGATTTTTTATTGGAAGATCGATAATTTCTCAGAAAAAGGCCAGGCCACAGTTATGTAATTAGCATAGAAGAGATAAATAAACCTTTCTGTTCCTGTGGACAGAAAACATTTCAATCAAATGTGGCGGGTAGCCATCATACCACGCAAGATAATTGACAGATGCCTGAATCTTGCTTACGACATTTTCAAGATAAATAAATATATACAAATTCCGAACAACAACATTCGGACCGTCGGTCTACCGAGCAATATCATCCGCTCGGTGGAAGATCGTTAATCAGCTCCAAACAAATTTTATACATTGGCTTGTCATTCGAGTTATAATGTACGAGTAATTTAGTTCTACTAGAACATCTAACAATACTGAAACTTTGACATCATTTTGCGCGGTAAGCTTTGAATTTGCTTTGGTGAGCATTCTCTGTATGAAGCAGGAGTATTTTTTCCTGTAGATATCCTAACACCTTAAGTATTAACTTCACGGAAGATCTCCATATATCTATCTATCTTTCCTTCAGAGTTTCGACTATTAAACTAGTTTTGATTTATGCGAATAATAATACTATACATGTCAAAGGAGCTATTTAAGCACAGTTTAAAAAACTCTTAAGCCTAACTTTTTTAGATTATTCCTTTGTCACGGAATAGATCAAGTTTTCCTTTACCTATTTAATGGACCTATTAGGAGTCCATTAACATGCGTTACTACGCAATCACTAAGAAAATTTGTAGTTTGCCTTAAGGCTCAATCACAGTATCTTAAGTCTCAATCACAGTATAATCGCACATTATATATAATTTAATATCTATGTCGTTGGCCGTCTAAGATATTGTTATGCCGGTATGAGCAATGTCATCTGTTGTCAAATTGGAAAAAATGTTGAAACGAGTAGTAGGTACTATCGGAAATGTTCTGGAAAATTGTAGACAAAGTCATAGCGACTATAAAAGCGCTGTATAGACGCCATTAAGGTAGGCCCCAAACACGTTATTTCAGATCCTTCCGATTCACTGACAGTGCTTTTAGGTATTTCAAGTACCGGTTAACAGTCTCGTCGAACCTCTTGCTCGCGAGAAAGGGTTCGGCAAGTAAACTAACCCATAGATACAGCCTACTGAGTTTCTCGCCGTATCTTCCCAGGGGGTCACGTGTCCGATCCGGTGGTAGATTCTGCGAAGCACTGCTCTTGCTAGGGCTAGTGTTAGCAACATCCTCAGGTTAGAGCATCGTGAGCTCACCTACTCGCTCGGTTCGCTGGCTGGTACTAAAAGCTCCTAGCTTAGGTAAAAAAAATATGAAGGCAGCTCTATTAGAAGTGAAACAAATCACCTGAAGCGAAGCGAAAGAAGTTAGTTGCAAATTGTGAAGTCTACCTTATGTGCCGTAATAATAAAGCTTTAATTAGTATTTCAGTGAATAGTTTTATTTATCGTGAACCCAAGCGCGTAACAGTTCCCACTAACAATTAGTCACGAATTTTTACTCGAATATTAAAAAAAATCGGATTTTATACTTTTATAAGTAACTAGCTGACCCGGCAAACGTTGTGTTGCCTTAAATAAGATTTCTAGGGAAATTCTACTGTAGAAAAAAAAACCTCTTTTAACCACATAATACCTCATTATAAACAAAAAAATATATTCAAAAACATAAAATTAAAAATAAATGTTTGGCGTGGACAACCCTTTTCACTTAGGGGTATGAAAAATAGAT